GAATTCAGCAGTGTAGCCAAGCTCATGTTGATTAATGCAAATCAAACATGGACTAATTCATATTTGTACATGAACTGAAGCAAGTTCTGACAAGTTATTCCATCTAGTTTTGTTGTTGGAGATGATAATGCTGTTCACCTGGTGTTCATCTTCAGAGCTTTTTAGCACAATGTGTGTGAGAACTAGGAGTGCAACAGCTAACATTCAATAGCTCTTTCCGTACATAAACATACATGTGAGCTAAAATACACAAAGACCTCACCTGATTTTTAATTTGATATGTGAATTGAGGAAGAAAGTCATTATGAGGATCTTACTAGTGTGCAAGACATTTTAAACGTTGTCTGTTTTTTTTGTGGATGGGTAACAGCCAGCATATGAACTAGCACTGGTACCTTCTGAATCTGTCATTATGAGGGATTTCAGTAACAAACCAGGTGATGCGTGAACTAGACTGACATAAACTCAAGTGATCCATGACAACCTTGGCATGCTGTCAAGGTGTTTGCACACACAGACAGAGGACAATTCCCCAGAATGTTTTCAGCCTTCATGTGTTATTTCAGGGATAAACACTTGGACTAGTTTGTTTCTCCATCAGACAGAGATCAAGGCTTGCTTATGCTCTTGTCCAGAGGAGCAGGACTTACTGTCTTGTGCTAGGAGACAGCTTCATAACTTTTTTAATTAAAAAGCCATTTTGGCCTAGTAGTTGAAACTGACAACAGGCTGCTGTCAGCAACCGCCAAATGAACTAGATCGAAGCTCTGTTCTGCATTGTCCACCTCAATATACAAGTTAATATTGTTACTTAAATTGATTGAAGCATGGAGGAAGATATAAAAGTGCCAATGGAACAAGCCAGGCAAAAAGCTGTTTGGCCTGTGGTATATAACATTCCTTGAGTTGTGAGCTGACATGTTGATAAACAAGAACACTGCTTTACAGAATGGGCCAGAAACTTGGAAGGCAAGCTCTGCTTGTGCTTCCTCAGGGACCTTTAGATACAGACCACTAGCAGGGACCTCCTTCAGCACAACCAGGTGCTCTCAGCTGTAGCTGAGAGGTATGTGTTTAAGAACTTTACCTCAAAGTTCAGTATTTTATGCAGGGAAAAGTAATTCTGAGAAGATTTAGGCTTTCTGAGATACTGTTGCTACTGCACAGTGATCAACTCTGCCACCCAGTGCTTCTCTCAGTGAGAAGACTGAAGCTGTAGTCCAGTTTTCTCTGTTTTCCCAGCTGTGAGTGGGAACCTTTAAAATCCATGGGTAGGAGAGATAATGAAGCCCTTTTCCTTCTACAAAAACTAGAAAAAAATTTTCCTGTAGTGCTGTATGATTAGGCAGATTCAATCACTAGTTACTATTTATATATTCCTGAAATGCATTATAAAGTGACTGACAAGCATGTAAAACTTGTGACTCAAAACATTTAGTGTATTTACCATGGAACAAGGGAGTATCTATTTCTTTTGTTTCATCACTAAATTGAAATAAAATTAATTTTTTCATAACAGGTTTGTTTTTTCACCTTTCAGAGCCTGTGACAACTGCGCGAACTGTCCAAACTCGAGGGAGCCCATCAGATCATTTGACACTTGGACATAACATATCTACACCTGGTAAAAGCAATCACATGTTGTCTTCTACTTAAATTGTTATGTTTTGGTTACTCTAAGGTTCTACTTTGATTTTTTTTTTAATTAAGTGGTTATGGAGGATTTATATAGTTGATAATTACAAAGACAAAGTTCGATGTTTAAAGCTGTATAAGAAATAACTTTGGAAACTGAAAAAAATTAAAATTGCCATAACTGTATTGAATTGACCTTTCCTTTAAGCATTATTTCTAAGTTCTTCTCCCAGGGTATGCTTCAGTTTACAAGGATCTTGTATGCAGATAGTACAATACTAATGAAACAATTATGTGTGTATATGTGGAACAGTGACACTACCCTAGCTGGGCTACATCTGTTGTTAAAGCTGCAGCATATTAATGTACTTTCTTGCTCTGTTCTTGAAAAATGCACAGAGCATAAGAACAAGCATATTGGTGGGAACAGACTGCTTTGTAGAGCTCTATAAAGGTATTCTCTGGATAGTGTGCTGTCCATAGCTCTACAGAAAAGGGATTTTGCTGGCCATATTAAACCTTTTAAATGTAGTTTTCCCTCACAGAAGAAAAGGAGTATATTTTGATTGGGCAGATGGTGGTCAGTACTGATATTCTTTGTGTGTAGAAGGAAATTCCTTGCAGTTTAACAGTTTTGTGGAGCAGTGAGGGACTCTGATCATGTTCCAGTGGAGCACAGGATGTTCTTGTCTCTGTGTTCATTAGAGCTGCATCTAGATTAGATAGTCTACCTCTGGCTTTTTGACTGTGTTAAATTGTAGTGGCTTTGGGAATGGCAGTGTTCTGTCCTTCTGTTTCTTCTTTTCTAAAGCTTATTACTTTTCCAAGCTCTACTAAAACATTGATGTAGTCCTTTACAGTTCTAGGACCCAACCTGTAAGCTTTAGGAAAAGCCATACAGATAGGTGACTGTCTGAATCAGGCTGTGAGATAGTTATGACCTCTTGAGAGTATTGACATTCACAATTACAACATTATAGTGAAGATAGAAACCATCTTTTAAAATGGCTTAAGTACTGTAACAGTAGTCACACAACACTGCTACTTTAAGGTTCTGGCTGTTAACACTCAAGGTATATGAAAGGGTCTCCATAGTACTCAGCATTTAGCAAGGTCCTTTTTTCCCTCAAAATTACTCTAAGAAGCAATTGCAGTATCATACTGAGTATCTGCTGTATGATTACCTTTGTAGGATCTTAACATACCACTGTTCTTACAACCTGATTAGGTCCGGATCTTACCACACAAGAGTTCAAGCAGGCAACCAAGGAGAATCTGTCTAATGTTGCTTTTGTGGAATATGAGGTACTGCTACCTGGTGAGTGTCTTCTCCTTCAGTTATGTTATATTTAATGCCTATGACTATACACAGTCTTTTGAATTGTAGAAATATCTGGGATTGCAACTTCTTGATAAAGTTAAGATGCTTACAGTGAGCAAGTGATGAGCTCAATAAAAGAAAAGATGAATAAGTTTGCAGTATTCAGTTTTATGTCCTAATGACTATTTTGCAGTGGAGAATGAGTTTCTTACTACTGTATTAAAACCACAAGTAGAAACAACTCAGCTATCTGTTGCTCTAAATCAATTCAAATGACAATTTCTTTGCACTAGTAAAACTGCTTGGAGAGACTGTGTAAGCTAGGGTGCTTGTACCCAGCAGGTGTTAGTCAGCTTTGTAGCATCACAGGTGTTCAAGTCTGGAGAAAAGATGGGATAAGAGTGTTCCTAAAGTAGATGTGAAGTTCCCAGTTGCCAAATAAGCATTTATAACTAACTTATTGGGCAGCTGGAAAAACTGATCTAATGGAAGTCTCTTTCTGTTGGAGGAGATTAGTTAGAACTCCTTTGCAAAGTACCGGTATGATACTCTAAGGGCATAATTGCACAGCATTTGCACTATATTTTCTTAATATAAAACTTTGGTAGCGTATTTCTTGTGCGGGTACATGTAACCCTTGGTACAGAGATGCCCCAGATATCATTCTTTGTGGTGGTTAATCTTCAACAGTATAGGGTTTTCATGTTCCATTCATTTAAAGTGTGGTTTTCTTTTTAAAATAATCTCAAAAGATATGGATTCTATTTTTAGCCATTGCAGTTAATCTGACTGTAAAACTTTTGCTCCTGTGAAACCAATTCCATTTGCAAAATTACTTTAATCATAAACAACCTCAACAAGGTGAGTTATGCTTGGCTTATTTATTGAGTGTAATGGCTCTAATAAATGAGTTGCAGTAACTGACTGCTCTGCTATGAAAGACAGAGGTGTTGCACCTCTAAGTTTCATTCCAGTTCAACAGATATGTAATATTTTGGCTGGGACTTGGAGTTCTGGGTGTGCTGTTCTGCAGGCTGTAAATGTCTCTGCCAGACCAGTAAAGTTCAAGTGTCCTGTGGGAATATCTGGTGCATCAGCTTCAACCAGACTTTGCTGCTTCTTAGACATGACTGGCATTATTAAGTTAGTGAGCTGTGCCGTAAAACTTCCTGTTCTCTCAGGAAGAATTTGAGATGTGAAATACAGCTGTACTTTTTTGACCATCACATACTACAGGGTAGGTCTAAGACTGAGGTGAGGTGTGGAATACATTTTCATGGAGTATTCAGATGGGCTAACCACAGTTCTATCTAGAAAATGTGAAAGAAAGGCCAGTTATGAAATAAAATGTCAGTGCTGACAGGTACAAAGTCAGACCTTTTTTTAATAAAAGGCTGTTTGTATAGATGAGAGAAAATACCTGCTGTTGGAACTTACTTTTTGGATATGCTCATTTTATTATCATGGAGCCTGTTAAAGGCAAAAAAGTGTTGGGTTTTCCTGCTGTATTGGATTATTTTCACATTGTAATTCTACTAGTTTGTCACTATGAAGGCACAGACAACCATAAATGGTTTTGAAGATGATCTAGCTTAGAGCTGAGTAGCTGTAGCATGAAAGGCCAGATTCAATAAGGTTAAGTTGGTGGATTTTATCAACAACTTCACTAACAGAAAGTAATAGGACACCACCTATAATCTCACAGTAGCAAAAAATCTGCAACTGGCTAAAACACAGATTCTTGTAGATATTTGCAAGTCTGACTCCTTTTGATATTATTAATACAACTTTTAATATATTTACTGATATTTTAAATCCAATAAATCCTGTTTTTTAATAGCAAATATGAAGTAAAAAAGGGAAGTTTAGATTGAGAGTAGACATTGTTCCCCTTGGTGAGAGCTAAGTACTTAATACATTTTTTTATTTTGGTTAAATTATGTAGAAGCATAAGTCTGTCTTGCTTTCAGTGAAATTAATATCTATGTTTGCATGTTAGAACCCTCTAGGAAGTCTACCTATAGAATGGAGTGACTGTTTAATTTTTTTAATGGATAACTCGGTTATGGTTTAAGAGGATTACTGTCAAACACTGATTTTGCAGGGGGTTTTATCCTGTAAGGTGTAACAGCAGCACATGGTATCCACCTGTAATCTGAAATATGTAAAACAGTCTTTGAATCTCTCCTTCCCCCAGAATGAAGTAGTAGTTTTTTATAAACATTTTTTTAAACTTCTAGGTGTCTCTGGTACTTCCATGGAAAAAAATATCACTTTGAACAATGCAACTATAATTGAACTTTCATGCAAATTGGACAAGAAATACTCTCACTTGAAAAACCTTCAAGTGACTTGGAAGTGGGGAAATGAAACAATTGGACACATCAATAAAACTGAAAACAGCTGGAGCATCCGGTAAGTAGCATTTTTAACAGTTTGACTTGAAGGAATTAGTATCACATGCATATATATATTGCCCAATACTGATCATCTGTATATTAGAGAAGAGCCAAATGTGGTGGCTTAATCTATGCCCATAGTCAACTGATTAAAGCTACACAAAAGGAAAAAGGTTGCAGTTGCCTCATGCCTGGAAGAGGAGTTCCTGGTTTTCCTTTAGTGCTGGAAAAGCAAAAGTTTCTTCAGGACAAGAATATAGAATAAGGATAGTTATTTGAGGTCCAGTAGTTCTGTTCAGTAAGTGAAGTAGTAATCTCAGTCTGAGATTGCTAAAATACCTCCATTCCTTTTTCCACTTCCCCATTTTCCACATTCTCTTTTCCACTTCAGTGTTGTTTTGCAGAAGTCCAAAAGGCATCAATGGCCAAGTTTTTTTCCCTTCACAGTTAGCAAAAGAAAGAAGAAATTAGCTTTACAGTAAAGATGTTTGGGATTTTTTAAAAGGTTTTCTTCACTCTTCTCAAATGTCTACAGAGACTTAAGAAATATTGTAGAAAGTTTTCTTCAGTTTATACAATTTACTGTTGGACTTTAAAAATGTGTAAATAGGCTAATTTTAACCAGGTAGTCTCTGGTTGATTTCTTTGGTTTCATATTTATATTAAAAATACATAAAAATTATAAGATTATATAAAAATATCTATATAAAATTTCTATGATAGAAAATGTGATGAGAATGTATTGGCACTATTCATCTACTCCATATACACAAACACAACCATGTAAATATTTTTCAAAAAGCATGTGGAATGTATAGCTTGCCAGTATAGAAAAAGGTAGACTTCATTAGTTGACAGCTCTTTAAAACTGTTCTGTGTTGGAGCTATGGTAGCCATTGACTGACTGACTTCAGAAAGAACAAAATTTACAGAATTTGTTTGGAAGTCCTACATAGAATATGCTGTAGTTCAGACTGAACCCATGTCTACTTTGGTAACTTGTAGATAATAAGGTTTAAAGATGTTTGGCCTTCTGTGAACAAGGATGAAAATGGTATTTGTGTTTCTCAAGTGTGCTTGTGCCCTTCTGTTTTCTTCAAAATGTCATGCTGTTTCTACATTGCACTAAACCTGAATCCTGGTGTTTCAGTGATGTATGTACTCTGCTCCACTGATAATATCTGCTGATTTCCTCAGAGTGTTAATTAGCAGTCACTGATAGTTGTAGTACAAAAGAAAATACAAGTAAAAAAGCAAATTAATGAAACTTTTTTTTTAAGATTGAAGATTTTGGATAACAGTAAGCTGGGAAGTTACAGGTGTACTCTGAAAGGTAAAGAAGAAATTGGTGCTGTGTTTCATTTACAAGGCAAGTTACTTTAAATTTTGCTTCACTTGACAATTGAAATCCTGTATGAATATGGTTTTTGGGTAGTACGGAAATTGCAATTTGAGAAGCAGTGACTAATATGGTCAGGCTAAGTGAGAATCACTGTCAAAGGCTTTTCCATAGCATGGAAAGAAGAATTTTGAAGCAGAAACTGAAAGCCTTTTTCACAAAATTTCCTAAGAACCAAAAGAGTGAATAAGCCAACTTTTTTCCTAAAGTAGTAACTGATTTCCCCTTCTCTTTCCATCCTTACAACAGGAGTGAAAACTCATTATCACTTTCTAGGAGGTGGGAGGAAAGGATAGTGTCTCAAATGCTTCCAAAAGCAGAGCCAATGACTTGCAAGTTTGGCCAGAGATTTGGTGTTACAAGAGGAGAAACAATTGGTATTTCTGAAACACCAAGTTATTGCTTTAGTGCATTTTTCATTCTATATCGTATAAGAATAGCTCTTATATTAAAAATTAGTGTGCTTCTTTAGGCAGTATGAGTGCGCTTTCTTCTGTTTGTATTTTCTCCAGTAATGTTACCCTTGACAGTAGTAGGCAAAATGCAGTTGAAAGGAAGACGTAGAAATTAAACAAATACAAGCTGCTGTGAACCTTCACCTGGAATCAGAGCTATTCCATTCTCTATTCCCCACCATCCAAATTTTGCAAAGAGCAAGGCAAGCATTTGATCTGTGAAGGCTCCAGAGAGTGATATATAAGAAAGATTCTCCCTGAACACAGGCTCCTAAAAACCCTAACTCTCCAAATAACTACCCTGACCTCAGCTGAACTCACCAACAGAGCTTTGTAATTCTTCATGCTGCAGGCTGGCTTTATTAGTGGGATATTGGGTCATATGACTTGGGGAAACTTTCATGTAAGTTTAAGTCTTGAATAGTAATGTTGACGTCTATTTTCAAACTTTCAGTGGGGGGACACTAGCTTGCAGTACTGAAGAAAGATAAAATCTTTTACTCTCTAGAAATGATTGTTTCTTGTCAACATGTGGATGAAGTTTAGTTGAATGGTTACCTTGAGTCTTTTTAGATTAAAAAAAGTCAAAGGAGACCTTATGCTTTTGAAAATATACAGTAACTATTTCGGTAAGGGCAGGAATGACTCAATAGGGAAGTCATCTTTTCCAGAACAGTGCTTAGGACTGGTTGATTTATTGCAAGAAGATGCGAGAATTGCTTCAGAATGGTTGAATGCTGCCACTTCTGATGCCATAAAAAGTACTGGCTTGACACTTTTCAAGATTAATGCAAGAGTGAAGAAAAAGGGAAAAGTCCTTGAATCTTGCAGTCAATAATGCAGAGAGAGCAATTCTCAGTCTGAGATGAGTAATGTGTTGATATAGACTCAGTGGCTAAAGTCATCACTGCTGTAACTAACTTCAATAGCTTTTCTACTAGGCAGTTAAGCATTACTGGATGTTACCTCTTCTTCCCTTCCCCTCTATCTTGGCCTAACCTTGCAGATTTTGGGGAGCTGAGCTTTTACGTAAGTCTGCAGAAAAGCATAGCATTTTGAGATGCTTATAGGAAGTTAAAATTATTAAACGTGGAGACCATTCATGAGTGTATTAAAATAGTATTAAGTGTTGTAATAGCTATATTAAAGGGTAGAATAGATTAACTTGTGTTTGCCCTTTGAGGGATCCTTCAGCAGCTGTCCAGATGCATGCATTATGAAACAACTCTGTCTTAAACCAGTTTGGAAATCTGACTGGTGTGAATGCTGGTGTGATCACCTGTCTGTTCATCTCTTCAACAGTTTGTTTTTTCTGTGCAGCAGCAGGTTTTTATCACAAAATTCTAGGTGATCTACTTGCAAAAATAGCTGAGACAAAACATTATTTCCTTGCATGCAATCAAGGATTAACTGCTGTGTTACAGAGCCAGATCCCAGAACTCATTATGGATATTCATGTCCTTAATCGTGGCTCATGTGGTAAAAGTATTGTTGGTATGCTTACAACTGTGCTTTGCCACTGATCGGCATGGCTAAAACTTTTTGACTGCCACATGAACCTGTTGTGGTGCTTACGAGGGTTTTTGTGTTTTCACATATCTCATTCTTTTTTTCCCAATCTGCTTTTTTTTCTCTTCTATAAAATGCAAAGGAAGTTGCAGCAGTTATTAGTAAAGTCCCTTTTCAGTAAACACTTGCTTATCTTCAGCAGTGAAGATACTCTGCCACTACTCTTTAGAAGGATGGTATTTAATGTTTAAAACAAATACATGCAGAGTGAGAGGACTTAATAATGAGGCTGGATTGATGTATGGTGCAGTGAATACTGAGGTTGTAAGCAGTGTTCTTGTTAACGAATTGGTTTCCTATATATTTCTGGAATGGAATTTTTTAAGCTTGAATACTCATGAGAAAGGAACATTGGAACAATTTATTTGTGCTCAGCCAGTCAGCAAGGGGAAGGAACAAAACCAATCTTAGTTTATACCAAGTTTTTTCATTATAACTGCTGAAAGCAGGTTCTTGGCCTGTTGAGTCTTGTGTGACCAACATAATTTAAAATATATACTGGATCTGTACTTAGAGCAATGAACTGAAGTAAAAATTAAAAATGGATCTGAGGAAAACATGCTGGTAAGCGTCCTGATAAAGAGTGGAAGAAGAGGGAAGGCAAAATACATATTCTGTCATGATATATTTGCTCAGCTCTAACTATATCTGTGGGATGCCTCAATATATTAAAAAGCCTTATTTGAGCTTTTGCTCTTGTAAGGCTGTGGGGCATCTGCAGTCACAATGGCTGGGACAAGTAGCTCTGCAATTACAATCTGATGTCTGGTTTCTTGTGGCCATATTCTGTCTTTAGCAAGATCAGACCAAAAGTTATCTTTACTGGCATGTACTCACATGTCATTACTTCAGCTTAGAAAAATGTTTGTAACTGCAAAGCTCCCTCAATCTGCAGCTTTGTCTTAATTTCAAAAGAGTGTTCTGCATGCACAACTTGCCAGATATCATTATGTGGTAGTATTATGGGTGGAATAGATTTGTTTGTTTTTGCAGGTTGAGTGAAATTGCAGAAAAATTAGTATGTTTCTAGTGTACTAGAACTGGAGCATGTAGTGCACAACTGTCAAGGAAGGTATAGAGGAAACAAGGAAAGTATAGAGGAAACAAGCAAGGGTAGAAATTGCAGTCTGATCACTTGATTTTCAGTATTAATTGTCAACTTCTAAGATCATACAGCAACTGAGAGCAGGATTCCTGTTGTCTTCTGCACAAATTCTACATATACAATATCAGCCTGAAATGACTCTTCTTTTAGATCATGTAATGAGTGATAGAATAATCTGTGTTTATGGGAAAAGGAAATGAATGGACTACTATAAATACCTATCTAAATATGGGTTTTTTTGTAATATTGTAATTAAAACCTGTAGATCTCACTTGATCAACTTTTTCCTACTTGTTTTTAGTGCCAAAAATTGGAGGAAAAGAAAAACCCATAGTCAGTTACGAAGGAGATACAGCTGTACTGATTTGTAAAAGTCCTGACTATACTCCCATTGCTTGGACTTGGTATATGACGAATGGAAGTGAACAGGTGAGATTTCCATCTGTAGGCCAAGCAAAACAATGTGGCAAAAAAACCAAGTAAAGACACTTTGTAAAGTATAATAACTTTTCACTGTAGGCTTTACAAATTGCATTTTCATTAAAGTTAATGTAAATCTCTGCATATGGAAAAAATCTGTGATGTTAAGAAGTGTTCATTATTACAGGGATGTAGTTTTTGTTCTGGTTTGTATGATGTTTCTTTTCCAAAAAGGTGCCTGCCATGCTCTTACAGTCCAGCTAAGTATCTCAAGACTCATCTAATTTGTTTTACTCTTGTCTTTATGATGGTTATATTGCTCAAATCTTACTATTGGATATATAAAAAAAATCTTATAGCAGGACACTCTTTTAAAGACATGCAAGGTATTGAAGGCTTGAGGGGGAACACAAGCACGTCCTTCCTCTTCCTTGTCCTCCAGGTACAAGCAGTTCCATATTTCCCAGCCTGTATAACCTCTCTGGGGCACTGGACCTGAAGAAGGTTATCCTGTGGTGAAGACTCCTGTGCCACTTGTTTCAGAAGGAGCTGAAATCTCCTCTCACTTCAGTTCCTGCCTTAAAGGCTGTGAGGAAAAATCTTGCTCAGCAGTTTTCCTCTTTCACATAACCCACCTTTTAGGATCCCCCTTAGCCTTGGAAGCATAGCCACTTTGTTCTGCCCCTCTTCTGGGGAAGCACCGTCAGCTGAGAGGAGGTAAACAGATCTGTCTTAGCTGTACTGCTGCAGCGTAGCATTGACTTTTAAGACTTTGTCAACGTGTTTCCCAGTGAAGCAGCATTCCCAGATCAACTTCTTTGGAAGTGTATGCTTTGTGTTGTTGTGAAACCTGAGCATTAGATCCTGATACCTGAGGCTGCCTTTGACAGTGGAGAGTCAATAGATTGAGGGTACCTTTCATCTGATCTTAAATAAGCTAAAACACATCAGACAGCTTGCTCACTGAAAGTGTGTATTTTCCTCCACTGAAGGTAAAGGGAACCAGGGTGGCCAACTAAGATAAATGGAGGTGGATGAAACATGCTTTACAAATGCCACTGTTCTTTACTCATTTTACATCTGTCCATATAAACTCTGTGTTGACAATATAAAATAATTTAATTAAACGCTTTCATTGCATTAGTAAAACTTGTGTATTTGTTTATTTTCAGATTGCCATTAATGACTCTTTGATGGCAGACAAGTATGTAATTAGTAGCATATCTGCCAATGTGACCCATCTGAAGATAACTAACCTTGCCCAGGAAGATGATGGTGTATATTGGTGTGAAGCTGCTTTTGAACTAGGAAAAAGTAAAGGAAAGCTGAAGCTTAAAGTTCTGTCCCTCATGGTGCCTCTCAAACCCTTTCTAGCAATTCTGGCTGAAGTTGTTATTTTGGTAACTATCATTTTCCTTTATGAGGCTTATTCAAAAAAAAAAGAGAAACATGCAGGTAAGTCTTCTTTCAGTCTTTTCAATCTTTTTATTGAAATTACAGCAAAGGTAGAAAGGTATGATCCATAGCACTTCATATACGAAGTTCAGTGTGATTCTTTCACATCTGTATTTTTTCTAGTAAAATACTTTCTTCTAGAACACTGCATTATTTTAGATTTTTAATTTTTTTTCAGTGAGTCTGGAATTCAGGTGCAAAGTGCTTTCAGTAAGCAGTACTTTCTCATAAAGGATTTGATATAGTCCTTATTTTTTCCTTACAAAACAAAGGAATTTGTTGTGCTTGACCAACCTTCTAGACTTTTAT